TGACTTAAAGAGTACACAGAGGTATTTTGACTATTTTGCAAAATAGGGGCTTCTGAGTTAATGATAGGCGTACAATAAAAAGTGAAGCTCTAGTGATTTGCTGGAACTTCGCTAATGTTGTTATCTGATATGGTGTTGCTCACAATCAAATACATTCGTGAAGGCAATCTTGTTTTTTGAATTTATGTTGATGAGGCATGATTTCAGTTTTTTGTTTTTCGTCTTCATCTTCCTCGCTTGTAGCACTTTCCCCACCTTTGGGACAAATTCTTTCCTATTCTTAACATGGGGGGAGGGGAGAGGAGCCAACATGAACGATAGCTTGTGCCAGCCATCTGCCTTGCGTACGTCGAATCCTTCTTAAATCTTATATTTACGCTATGATTACACCGAAAAATCTGGAAAAACGCTGGGCGCTTAGTGGGCCCTCATCTTTACGTTCGATACCTCTTCCAATCGAGTGAACAACATGCCGCTTCAAAAAGGGCGACTATATGTGCATATTGACAACCGTATGACTACAGCATGCTTATTTGCAATTATCGTTCATCCTGACACACATCTTTAACCACGACTTCTTCTCAAGCCCACCCCAGTGCGAACCCGCAGGTCATGCCCTTATGCCCTCTGACCTTACTCCTAACCCTGATCGTAAATTGTGCAATCACCCAGTCAGTTTGGTGGTAAGAAACTGTCTTGCGTGAAGATAATAAAATTGGTTCATTTCTTTTCAAACGAATCTTAAGTCGGTTAGAGCAAAATCTTCTACAGTCGAGGGTCCTTATGTAGGTAGGAAGGTGGAGCTGACCTATGCACCAATCTGTATAAGAGAGATATATAATTGAAAGAGGATGTCGCGACCTGGCGTGACTCGTGGGAATGAAAAATAAGTACCACTCATTGTTGACAACGGCGCTAAAATTTGAGCAATTAGGACTCTAGCTTCGAGGATAAGCTACATGTAGTATAGGGTTGCAGAGGTTGATGATACATCAATCATTAAAGGCACCGCCCACCTTAAGTTGAGGGTGTTGAGCTCCTGGTAGCATATAACAGTAGGGCCTCCTATCAAGCCAATGCCCAAGTCGCGGCGCAATATGTCGCTCCGGAAGCGAGAAAATCGCTTCGGGATAGCGAAGATGCGCGAGGACCCCTCTCCATGCCTGCCCCTCCCCATCCATGCCGCCCATTTGTGCGCCCATCCAATCACCGTTCTGAAAAGCCGGCCTGTGGGTTCTCCGGAATGGGGTTTGTCGGGGTTTTCGACTCCATATTTAGAATCAATAACAAGAGAATGCCCTGAAAGGACAAAAACCTGGAAGTCGAGAATCTGGGTGGACGGTGCCTTTGAAGTTAGTGTACCTAAGTGGTAGTTAGTATTATGACTTACTGTAACTACATATTGATGTTATTTTCAAATGAACTTAAGGCATGAAAAACAGCATCAAATTCGCACATATGAGACAAGTAGAGCAGATATTAGGTTGATGCAAAATTAATTGATCTTTTTCTGGACACCTTTTCTCAATCAAACTTCTTCGTTTGAAACAGATTCAACAATTATTGAGAAGCTCTTTTCATGCTGTATATAAAGCTGCTTAAAACTGACAGTTAGCCTAGTCCGTTAAGGATTTATAGGGCGAATGACCGCACTCAAAACCAGATTTTTGTAGCATTCACTTTTCTGGCCAGAATTCAAGCGTAAATTAAGGCGCGTTTTCAAAAATTTAGCCACTATATGTAATACAAGTTGTCTGCATTATGCATACTTAACCACATTTTTCGAAGTTATCTAAGCCAAGCTACCGGCGCCTTAATATGGGTAATGGTTGCGTTTCATTCTGTAGCCCACATCTTTCTTTTGTAAAATGCAATCGCTCAAACTTTGCTCATTTCTGTAAGCGTGAGGTTAAGGATCCTGTCGACGATTTTAGCAAAGACATTCAGCTATTCAGCAGGCAGAAAATCAGAAAATTCTGTCATTCGGGATTTTGAGGCCTACTGAAAAAATGCTGAAAAAGTTGATGTTTTTGAATTTTGATTTTTTCCTCTCTTTTCAATCTCTTTTCTCCAAGCTCTTTCCAAGTTTTTTGTACTACTGGCTTGCGGCTATAAGATAGGCTACTTATAAATTATACTAACAAACTGTAAAGGGAGTTATGTTTTGTCATAAACGAGACTCCAAAAAAAACTTGTTTTGTTCTTCAGTTCATATTTTTCTGCCCATGTGAGATATGAGTACAATTTAATGTGCGTTGTATTGTGAAAGGCTCGCTGCATCCGATGGTCTTTACCATAATGTAGATTGAGTAGAAAGAAGTTATAGCAAGTTGAAGTGATCAACCTAAATTCACACGAAGTTCAAAAATGTCAAGAAAAGTAGGGGATGATCTGAAAGTATTAGGTTGTTGCAGAAATAATGTCCGTTTTGCAAAATTTCACTTTGAAAAACTATAACTTCGTTCAGTTTTCATACTTTTGAATGCAATCTAGACCATCAGATGCAGTAAACCTTTCGTAATCTAAGGCGCACCTGCATATACTGATATCGCAAACGGGAAGAAAATCATGCGTCAAAAAACCAAAAGTTTTGCTTTTGAAAACTTCGTGTTTGAAAGATTACAAATTCCTTCAAGTTTTATTGTTATGGCCGCTGATCAGCTTATTGTGTAGACGCAACCCAGTAGTATACGCTTGTATAAAAAGAACTTTAGCGAAGAAGTTCTGCGAAATAAAAAAGATAGAAATCCAAAATTGTTCACTTTTTCAAGCCTATTTGTGATAGGCTCGGAAGTCCCAAACTATGAAAACTTGGAGTTCTTCATGCACTGAATAGCTAAGTTTTTCTGCATGAATTGTAGATAAGATGTCCTGACTTTAAGCCTCCAGAAATGAGCGAAGTTTCAGCGATTGCCCTAATCAGGAAAAATTTCGAACCCATAGAGTTCCAGGCAGCGAGTGTCTTTTTTGAAGCTCGATTTGTCAGTTCAGGTATATTCGAAAAACTTATTCAAACATGCAATAAATAAACAATATTCATTATATACAGTAGCTATGTTTTCAGAAGAATTCATTTATTTGCGCCTGAGTTGTGGCTCAGAAAGTTGGAGCAATGAATTTTCGATCTTGAGTGCGGCTGTGCCAAATGCTGGTGAAAATCTTACAGATGAGATAAAAGCGTAATTTCACAACAATTAGAAAGTACATGAAGAAAGCTTTCCAATGATGTGCAGAGTCTGTATCGAAAAAGAAAGCCTGAAGGAGAAAAGTCGTTTGGAATATACGCCTAGAAAAACGGACATTATTTTTGCAACAACCTAATAATTTGTTGATCGCCGCTCGCAATATGCACATCTGACGATTTGCCAACAACTGCTGTTTAATTCGAGCGCCCTTCTTGGTGTTCAAGTTGTAAATAAATACCTACCAATTGTAGGTTCTATAATAACGCCATAGGAGGACAGCCTATATGTAGAATCTCTCAAGCCACAAGTGTTTCTCTATCAACTTTGTGCAAATGTTTCCATTGTAGAATGGTGGAATCAAGAATTCAAATTCAAACATTTGGAGCAAATCAATGGAGCTCTCATTGTCAGAAATACTATGTGGCCGGATATTGGCAAAATTCTTCCCCAGCTCAAAATTATCAACGCTACTACCGAAGCAGGTAGAATAGGTTGGTTTCCAATGAAATGATTGATGCTGCCTCCACAACACAGCTTAAGTTTGTCTTAAGATATCAGTCAGGATGAGAGTGTGCAAAAGATAACATTTTCAAGATTTCAGTACGCTTTTGAAAGCGATCTGCATGAATTATATCGGGCTGTTGACTAAGTTTTGCAACTTTTTTCTCTAACTTTTTTCTTCAAGCATAGCATACTCACATTTTGCCATTATGTTAGTTATGATCTAAGCTACGAGTGCAGCTATCATTCTGTAGAATTCTACATTGTAGTGAGGGTTACGGTAGGTAGACGGTATAAAAAAAATTTAGATCATCATGGATTTGACTGAAACTTGGACAGGGGGTTTGTCTGACATGCTGATCATGAACACAATACTCAATTTGCGCAGTAGGCCTATTTTTGTAGAACTACGGTAGGTTTGCGGTATGAGATGCTTCCCTGAACACGAAAAGATGGGTTGAACGAAAAATGAATATGATTTTGTTTAGCAGGTTCAAGTAACTTTCTTACGCCAAGTTTCGGCAAGTTCTAATACTGTACGTCAATCTTTGACGGTTGCCCTTCAACAGCCTTAAAGCGACTCGTTCAATTTCGCGAGGGCCAGATCTCAACTTTTCTTAAAATCTCAATTCCTTTTTGTTGAGTGAAATGTGGCAACCTCTCGCAACAATCAATGTACAATCTCGGATCGTTTTACGTGATCTTGTTTGCAAATGGGTTTATTCTTGCTTATAACCCCATAAATCCTCGAAATCCACCAATTTTTGAAAAGCGCCTGAATCTTTTCTATGTTCTCATCAAAAAGGAAGCGGTTTGTGTCGCTTTGTAGCCCGCACTCCATTCTCCATAATGTAAAAGAAGAGCGCGCCAACATCAAAAAACGAAAAGTTACGGACAAAGTTGCAAGACATAGTTAATAGCGTAATCGGCAAGAATGATGTTTTTGTTCGTAAGTGAAGAGTCGTCAATTTCAATGAGCTCATTCCTGTAAAATTGGAACATTTGCTTTTGCACAAAAACATGAGCATAATAGGAGGGCAAACGAGGACGAAGATAGAAATCAATAGCGCTCAGAATATCTTAAAGAAACCGTTTGATTTGACACAAACATGCTCTGCCGTAAGCACCGATAGACATTACATTTGCAAGTGAATTCTTTAAGAAAACGGAGAGGCAAGAGTACCGATGATGTTCACCTAATTAAGTGTGCTCTCATATCTTGTAAAATGTTCGGCAAAGATAATTTTGTTAGCTTCTACTTTTATCGACTAAGTACAAAGATCCTTCATAAAAAAGCACCATTTTCGTGTTAAGGTGGACCGCTGCAAGTTGTTCGAAACCGTGAGATGAAGGATCTCAACCTTTGTAATTTAAAGAAGGTATATAGCGCATTCAATAACACGATCAGCATATATAACTCTGTGCAACCGGATGATTTCTATGTACTACAGTGGGATCTAAAGGATAACAACGTCACTCTCACTTTTTCTCAGTGTAAGTTCCATTCTGTCATCAAGAAGGATGTTGCACATTTGATCCGTATAATCAACTTCATAGAGCGCTCTTCTTGCCTATGCTGACTACCAAATGATAATGAGCGTCCAGGAAATATATAGTGCGTACTAGATTTTTTGTCGCTATACTCAGAAAGTAGTTTGAAGCTGAAGAAAAAGTTGCACCACAAAGATTTTGAAGCATCTGCATTATTTTAATCGCAATAGAGTGCGTGGAAATGAGATGAAGATCTTATTCCAGTTATATGCCTGCCGCGCACTGCATAACAAAATCAAAAGAATTCTAACGATTTGCGTAAATTAGCGCGTAACAGATAAGCGACTGATTTGGGGCCCACAGCCTGGCAGGAAGAGGAGCGCCCCGCACGGTGGAGCAGCTTTTGTTACCATACGTGCAAGTCTTACGTTCAGAAAAGATTTTGAAGTAGGAAAACATTGAAAGCTTTGCATATCTTTTCAACGGGTTTGGCGGCTTGAGGGCAGGGTTTTGAGGCCTAATCAAGACTAATGAATGATCAGAAAGCATGCTCGCGAAGGAAACGCAGATTGCGTGGCAAGCGCGAGCGGTCTCCTTCCGGCCGCCAATCTCGTTGAATCACAGGGCGCCTACTATGAAGTCAAAATTGAGCAACAAAATTAAGTGTCTAACAGCCATCTTTGTCCTTTAATTAAGGTCTTTATTTGTCATGTGGTATGATAAGCCATTTACGGGTTTTGCTATGAGTTGCAACATAATGACCAGAATTTAACACTACCTTGTTTTAGATGACATATGTGACGAATTTATATATACTGAAGAAGACGAATGGGAAGATTACGAAGAAAAACAAGGACTCACAGTGTGCCGCAAGCTAAGTGGTGGCCTCACAATTGAAGGATTTCATCACATGCGTAAGTTTGTGTTGCATGCAACTTGCAACTTGCAACTTGACTTTGAACCAACCAGCAGCTTTGTAACTCGAATGCTGTCAAATTGTGTAAAGAATGAAGGCTACTTTGCAAAGACAGGGCGGAAAACTATTAGAACGTCTCATAATTTTTTACCGTTTTTACCCTAAACACCAGCATTTCTCGAGAACTAGAGCACTTTCAAAGCGTACAAATACATGATCGTACTTCTGTATGTATGAGCTATACCACGTGCGTGGGAGGAGTTCAGGACGTCTTACGAGCGGAGTTTGCCATTTTACACGACTCATTTTTTTCTTTCTTTCTAGCCATGGAAAAAAGACAGAAAATAGGGAATTTTTAAGATTTTGTGGGGCAGGGATAAGATTTTTGTCAAAGGATTACCAAGGCTGCGAACAGAGTTCACGCGATTTGATCGTCGCGATTTAATCGCCGCGATTTTCATTCATTTTTATTTTACATTCAAAAATTTCGAGATGGAAAAGTATCACAACCGAAATGCAAGATGGTCGGCATGCAATGAACTCGTAACGGTTGTCTTGTAGCGATTGATTCGCGACTTTCAAATCGCATGAACTCTGTCCGAGGCCTAAAGCCACATCAGTTGAAAAAAAGATACAAAAAGACGACGGCTGTAGTAGGAACGGTAAAAAATTATGAGACACCCTTTTATGACACGAACCCCTGGATCAATTTTTGCTTCGATTGAGGTTGAAGGTTGGTTCGGTCCTCCGTTCTTCCTTCTTTCTGACGGTACGGTACCTCATCGGTTCACCACTTTACAAGTTACGCATCAATATCATCAAAAATTCAACAGCAACCAGGAGACGTTGCATGCGGTGTTGTGTCCGGTCTCCTGCTTCCATAAGTACTTTCGTAATGCCACAAGCTCATGCTAAGGTTTCGTCGAATAGCTTCTCATTTATGCCTCGTTCTTTTTGATCTCAATTTTTCTCTAGCTTCCAATTCTTTTTATTAGATCATAACGTGGAGTTTGCAAGTTTATCCTCATAATCAAGGAAAATCCTCAATTCGCCTCTACAGGAATTTGGAGCTGATCATAGTTTAGGTTACAAAGGATTTTGCTATTTCTTGTCTTCGATGCTCGAATTCCTTTGCTTTTAGAAAATGCGTTGATTTTTCCTCTTTTCGTATCAAGGATCAAAGGGTTATTGAAATAAACACTCAAGTCATATTTTGAATTAACGCCAAAATTGAACCATGAAGTATAATTTTCCATATTCTACTCAACCATTGCTTACCAATATAAAACGGGAAAGAGGAAAACAACTCTTTTCGATGTCAGATAGCTCGCTTTGGGTTCATTAGGTTTTCTTCTGCAAAAAAAGCCAGCGCATAAAAAAAACTAATGAAGCAAGTGCACAAATGGTCTCACTTGTAGTATTATTGTTAATGTGACAAAAATCTCACGCATTGCCTCGTCGGCAATTCTACACAGATTATTTTCTTCTGATTGTGGTTTACTATAAGATGAGGAAGGTTTGCCAAAGCGTTAAAACATCGGTGATTGCTTTCAATCAATAGTTAGACATGAAATGTTATAAATGGGTACTGAGTTTCCGTACTGCGTCTAAGCTCAATTCTCTTCGCTTTTCACATGGATGTAAACTTATTATGCCATTTTCTACTATCCTTTTCTTATCAACAAATGTAGATTTTGGATTACTTATCTTGGCAGTACAATCTTCATAGAGGAAAACGATGAAGGAGGCCTGACTTACAATTTCATTGATTTTATTTTGCATCACTTATGGGAAGGTAAAGAATTGAATTAAATGTAAAGAAATCATTGTCGACAGTTTCACGTACATCGATTTTTGATCAGATTAGTACTGACATTTGGACTTTTGTACTAGTCATGCATAATTTTTCTCACAGTCGTCGAAAAATAAAAACAATTTTGATCAACAATATAGCATTAGCGTAAGTATTTGGGTACAAATGGAATTAAAGACAGTGTCCGGGCAAACACTTGATTTTGAGATTTTGTGCTTAAACGGGCCTATTCGCCATGCTGAATCGAAAAGTCTACACTGGAAAGCACGAAAACGGCAAAAAGGGCTCTAGCGAGGAGGGAAACAGCGAGTGGGAGGGGTCCTCCCTACTGTAAATTCACGCTCCCGCTTCCGCAGCTGTCTTCTCAATCCCGCTAGCCGTCCTAACGTCGCTACCGATTAACCGGAAGCGAGGAGATCGCTCCGGAAGTTGGGAGCGTGATTTCATGGGGAGGATCCCGCCCACTTGCTGTTTCCCTCCTGTGTTAGAGCCGTTTTTCGCCGTTTTGCGCTCACTAATGTGCATTTTCGGATACAGCGTAACGAATAGGCCTGGGTATGCACAAAATCTAAAAATCGAGTTTTTGTCCAGACACTGCCGCTAAAGAACATATAGGCCGTCCGCACCGTCCTCGGAAAACAATGCTGTTGCGTCCATCACAGATAGTCCATGGCAAGGCACAGATAAAGCAAGTAGCAAGAGTGCACGAGGAAAGACAAGTCGCACGCAGTACACACCCTGCACACTCTTTGCATCCAGCGCGGCGGCGTATAAAACCAGTTTGCGGGTGATCTTTTGTAGAGGCATAGGTAGTATAAATAGTACATCTAACAAGGGAGGCTTGTTTAGTCAAAGTGGCATTTTCAATGAGATGTACACCATATTAAAGGGCATTGCGCTGATTCTAAAACTCCCTTCCTTATCTGCAGAGCTTTTATGGGAGAGGAGTTATGAGCGTTTATTGGAGCCAAAAATTGAATGTGCAATTCGGACAAAATGAGTTGATAAGATCTTACTAGCCCTAAATTAATGCAACCAAGTGTGATCCATTTTTTATTTTAGAGTATTATTCGAATAAAGTGCTCTGATGATTATCACGGTTTCATTGAAGAGGTGGAAAAATTATTACGCTACTTTTGTCCACTTGCACATTCATTTTTATTGCTTCAATAAGCGCTCATAACTCCTCCATAAATGTTCTGCAATTAAGGAAGGCGGATTTGGAATCAGCATTATGAACTTCAGTATGGTAAAAACCCAGCCAGAAAGGCCACTTCGACAAAACATGCATTCCCTGCAAGAAATTCGCAATTGTAGGAGAGGATGCGAGGATTTTCTTCTTACCGCTTAGAGCTATCTTTCCAAGAACTCGTTAGACGCCAAAACGTTGGTAGACCCCTTTGTACTGAGTTTGCGCTTTTGGCAACATTCGCACGCAAAGCCAAGTAAGCGGTATGCGCAGAGAGGTCACAATGTAGCAGATGGGAAGAAATGATATTACTGACTGTCATCTTTATACAACCCAAGCTCGCGTAGCGTGTACTGCCACGCAAGTTGAAATTCTTTTCCCAAATCTACTTCGTATCAAAATTAGACTAAATTGACATCCATAATCGTATGAATACATGAAAACAGAAGTCACAGTCTCGTTGAGCACTTTATAATATCTCCAATTCTTTTTGAGGAAGCGATTGGCTCCTTTGACTATTGTAAATGAAGATCCTCAACCCCTAGTAACTTATAGCATTTCAACAAAAAAACAAGAACGGCGAATATTGAATAGTCGACATTCAGCTCGCTTGTTGTTCTATTGTTCTCCCAGAATACAAGTGGAAAACAATCGATAAAATTGATTTGTCTTCAAAATCTGAATCTTTGTCTTCTAAAATGCCGTTCACTAGGTCTTTGTAAATTTCTAGATTTTAGGAGAAAATAAAGCCAGAGTATTAGCATAAAAATAGGTTTTGCAGCTTCGCCCAAAATTCCTCCCTTTTTAATTAGTCATCCTCAAACTTTGGTATTAGTAGACAACGGATAGGGCTACAAAATTGCACAAACTGTTTGATCTTGAACAGGAAACAAAATATCTACGCACTGTGAAGACCGGACAAGTTGAGGTACTACGGCTTTTCAGCAAAAGTAAAGCCCCGCTCAGGAGGAAATTGTAAGCAAAGTGTAGCTAAAGATCGACTATCAAGCTCAGCTAAAAAAGACTTGCAAGTCGAAGAAACAGTGATTTGGTGCCCGAGAAAACGAGGGATTGAAATGCATTACAGTAGCTTCACAAAGCTTAGCTTCCATCAATGCCAAAGTTTCGAAACTGAAATCCCGAAACAGGGTTGAGCAAGAGGTGTGGCACACAACCGCCGAATACAACCCCCTAAGTTCCGTCTCGATATCCCCACCCCCAACATTTTTGTTTGCCTACCGTAGGCATGACATGGCTTTACCAAAAACTAGTAGTACGTTTGTAATTATCATGTCAAATAACCCCGTGGGTCAAGTTTTAACGGGATCTAAAGGTTCCAATATTGAGCCACCCAAGTGGAGTAGCCTCAAGCATGATCAACTATACATCAAAAGTAAAATAGCTAACTCTTTTTGAACTCAAACAAAGCACTACTCCGTGTTTGCCTATACTATAAATCCTGCTTCAAATAATCATCAAACCATAGAATTAAGAGCCAGCCAAATCTCGTTTGTCTTCCGCTCGCAGTGGTTGTGCTTCTAGCAACTATTGCTCAAAAGAAAGCAAACAAATTCAGCTCCAATCACATCCTCAAAAAACCCCGAGATTTTGGCTATCAAAATGTATATAATTTGTTCCCAAATTCTTTGAAGGTAAGTTAGTGGGGCGTGGCGCAATCCCAAAAAAAAAAACTGCTGCCGCACCTTTTCAAAGCTGTGCCACGCCCCACCCCATTAACTTATCTGGAAACCATTCAAACATCTGCGTTTTTATCTGCTACTGTTTTCTTCTTTGTGCAGCAGAAGTTTAACTTGAAACCGTTTTTTCTATGGAAAGATGTAATTGTTTTTTCCTTACATATGCAAATGAAAGTTATGCGAAAATGTTGGGTTAGCTAACATGCTAAGTCTACACTACTACGTGAATGGCGAGGAAAGACACAAAAATGTATATATTTAACAGCCTACGCCCCGTAATTTACACTAAAGTGAGTTTAGGCTGGTCCTCTCTAGTCCAAGATAACCCAATATTAAAAGCGAAAAATGGAACACGAGATTTTGGCTTGCTCTCAATTCCTTGATTTGTAGGTCGTTCAAAGTAGGATTTCTAAAGCAAGTAAAGAAGTGGTAGTTTTTCGTATTAAGTGCAGAAAGAGGTACCCTAATTTCACGCGTACAAGGCGCGGGGGATTTTTTTTCCAAGATCGATCAACCCAATTACGCCAAAGAACTTCGGAACCAAAGGTTCCGAAGTTAAAAAGAAAAAGAAAAAAGAAGAAAAAAAACCCTATGCCTTGCTGTATATTGCTTATGAGAATCGTACGGCATATGGATCGCTTCCCGAGATAGTTTAAAGCGGCTGAGGCGTTTGATCGAAAAACCGAAAAAGGTGCGCCTTGTACGCGTGAAATTAGAGTAGTTATTCACCTTTAGAACGAAGTTAACATGATAAAATGGCAATCTTACTTGAGTAGCCCAATATTTGGAAACCTCAGAATTCGCTACGGCTTGATCCACAGCGACTATTTGACATGCAATTTACAAAAGGATGTTTTTAGGCTACAGAACTTTCGTTATGCTTACTGATTTTACGATCGTGGGTCAAAACATCAATGCGCGTATTTTGCAGGAAGGGCTCATCTGACATTGATAATGAATATCACGTTGTCGCTTACATCAGGATTACCTTAGTTAAACTCCCCCCTCCTGACTCCTCAAAATACCCCCCCCCCCCCTCCCCCTAGTTGTGGCATGCCGCACCCCACGCTTAATCCTGGTCCGAAACTATAGTGGAAATCTGACCTGTTGAATAAGAGTAGCATATCCAATTGTTGTGTACATGAAAATGAACTTCCATAGAACTTCCATAATTTTATAAGCAAAGGCTTACTGGGAAGGACGCCATTTCAAAAGCGGCCTATGTCATTTACAAAATAATAGTAGGTCTTTTAACTTGCAAACAGGTGAGATAACTTTCTAAATTTTTCAAAACCCCAATCACTCTGTGTAGGCTCAAAATAACTTTTTAGATTTTAGCCCACGAAAAATTTGGAAAGTGTCTCAGAAATTGTTGCCAGTTTGAATGTTTACAGTTTGTGTTGCGCTTTTTTCGAAATAAAATTCTCTCCGTGTGATTACAGCAACTGTCACACGCAATGGCACAATCGTTCAAACTACTGCTACTTTGTATTCCGTAGTATGCAATCTGATCTAGATAATGTTAAATAGTGGGTGCGCCATACACAAAGGAAAAAATCATAGAATAAGCTGCAAAACTTCGTTTCCAACTGAATATTCACGATATGGAACTTTTCGATTCCTGGAGCTATATGCAACCACATTTTTTCAGCTGATTCGCCTACCTTCAATTTCTTTTCAAGTCTCACTGAGATAAATGGACCAGTCACTCTTAAGGACAACAAAGGTTTCGAAAGTTTTTACTTTCTGAAGAACCTGCGAATAATTAATGCAAGTTTATCGAAAGGTGAGCTCGGCATTCACTGATATATTACAAGAATAGAACTGCATCATATAGGGTAGTAAATTTAAAAAAATGAGATAAACGAAAAACGTCAATTCTTTGATGATGCTGCTATTCTTTTTTCCAGACTTCCAGAGACATTTTTCCAGGCAAACTTAAATCTCCTTCCCTTTTATTAAAGTCAATTTTTCACATTCTTGATTTCTCTAGTACAATATCTTTGGTAAAACTTCAGCGATGATCGGCTCTTAAATTTCTTCCATGACTTCTTGCGTTGCTAAATCTTAACAGTTGTGGTGTAAGCTCTGATGCGGAAAAGCTAGAAGCGTTGATCGTAAATCATATAGAGTTTGACCTTGAAAGATTTATCAACTAAACATTGATTTTTGGTACAAATAATCTTACGAGGATTACAGTGGGTACATGGTAGTAATCATAGATGTATTTTTTACACTTCTCAGCGCATGCAAATCGACAAAAAAAAGCCCAAAACGGCAAACCCGCTCGCAGCTTCTCCTACGTGTGTGATTGTACACTGCAATCTTCAATAACCATAGAATCATACTCTGTATATGCAGTGTTAATTGAGAAATGCTTGAGAAGCCAAAAAAAATGAGATTTTTGCATTGTTGAGCTAGTTTTGTTTCTTAGTTTTGGAAGAACTCAGCGAATGCAATTTATAAATACGCTAAATACGCGTCTATTGCCAAGCTGGAGATCCGTAAAAATTCTCTGGCAAGAAATCCGATCTTCACGGTAGTTGAAAATTTCCGTTTTTGACTGCAAGCTTACCTTGGGACCATTAAAGGCAGTGTCCCGCCAGATCCGCGCCTTGAGGGATATTGCAGTAGTGGGGTTCCTGGTCATCCCATTGATCTCCAGGCGCAGTTCGGCTGGTTGATGTTTCCCCTGTGCCGAGAAGATTGCCCTTGAACCGGCACGAGCTCGGACGACTTCGCTTACTGTTCAGCGCGGGACCCCAAGACCGCTCCCCCGCATTGTGCATGCTACCCAAAGTAAAAAATATGCAGCAGGGTCTTCGTGCCAGGGCCTCCCAACCTTCCATTGAAAATCTCCGAGCTGCTTATTCGAAAGTGGATGGAAGTGCAAGATCTGCCGGGACACTGCCTTTGAGTGGGTTGGTGGGGGTAGAGGAACGAACATCTCAGTTAGGCACCGCCTTCACGGACTACTGGTCCCAACACGATGCACAACAGTAGGAAGAAAAGACCAGCAGCTCGCGGAGGCGGTGCTTAATTGAGGTGTTAGTTCCTCTACCCCTTTGGTGGTCATTAATCTGTTAGAATACCAAAACTTTTTGATTCATCTAGAAAATAGTTTACTTTTCGGAGTCTAAAAAACAGTTTACTTTTCGGAGATCAAGACCAGATTTTATTGAATTTGAATAAATCAACAAAGCTTTGCTTGCCAAACTAATCATAACTTATAATAACGGGCTAAGGGTTGTTTACATTTGTCTGTGTGTATGTGTGAATCTCTATCACGAAATTCGTAGAGCGAGTTCCAGCAAAGGTCTTAAGCTGGAATTCTGATAGTAGACCCTATATGCATGCAGATAAAGTGTGCGAAAGCACAAGCCGATCCGATAAGTGGAGCCTGTGAAAACTGTGCGCCAAACGGATTCACGCAACTTTTGATGCGTCAAAGTGGGTCTATAACTGAGCTTTATCCAAAGTCGTGGAATTGTTTAACAAGTAAATCCGCAAACCATAGACTCCAGCTCGAACATGGGCAAAACGTTTACTTTCACGCAAGATCGGCGCCAAAAATGAACAACTAAGAAGATAATGGTTTGTAAGATTCTAACTAAGAATTTGAGAAAGTTTTTGCCTGGGGATATAACTCACGGATGTCATTATCCTTCTGGCAACTATCAAGCCATTATAACTCCAGTAACTGATTCAAACTCGCATTTCTTCTTCTGAAAAATACTTTCTTTCCTCCCAAAGTCACCGATCTTACATGAAAAAGTTTTGGAATGAGTGCTTACAATTCATTCGTGATGATCGGCATAGCGTGGTAACTTTCAAAGCTAACGTTCTGCGAGTATAAGAATGGCATGTGGAGAAGAACCAGTGCGAGCCTCTGTGAAGTAGAGGTGACGCACTGGTACATTATATTCGCGCTTTCCTATATTCACGTAATCCAAAGTTTGCTTGGGACTACATTCATGCAATGTTAGTTGTACATGCTACTTTCACAGAAGAACTTTGTCGATTGTGCTGTATGACCGAAAAATAGGACACTTATTGACGCCTCTGCGTTCTACTCGAGTTATTTTATTTCTGTATTCCAAATCAATAATCACAATTTCATTTCGCAAGCGCTAAAAGATGCGTTGAATACGATGCTCTGCTAAATTCTAGAGTCAAAATGTGATGTTCTTGTTAGTTGCTTGAGCGTAGTCCAAGATTGGTACAGAACTTTATCGCACAGAACAACAGACTAATGTTTCGGAGAACTCGCCTTCTTTAGAGTCTGAAAAGTCGAAGACACATGAGTAAACTATCCGACCAAACATCTCGTCGACTACAGAAACGGCCCAACCCTCCAAGAAAAACATCAAAATGTGATGGGTTCTAGAGTATTATGGGAACAAAAACTCCAACTCCTACTTTATCTATGCATCTGATACGTCAAATTCTATACAACCTTGGAACGCCTAGCTAAATTGTCAATTTGCCTTTCGACAGTGAATAAACACGCGCGAGAATGTTATAAACATTTGATAGGCAACGGACCGAATCCATCCGGGGACCGAGTCGGTACCGGCCGGGTCTCCCCAGCGGCCGTATGGAACTCGTTCACTGGAACCCACCGAATTTGTTCACCGGAAGTCCCCGAAAGTCTATTCTGGCATACTGTAGCTAGCCCTAATTTTATGCCCCTAAACCCCACCCAAATTAGCAACCCCACTCGAAAATAGTTTTTTTGAAAAGACAGAACAATACTGAAATTACTATTTATTTATTAGAACAGACAAAAGTAACTATGCACAACTAATTACAGTCGAGTAGATTTTCCGCTTAATATAGTGTGCTTGCACAGTTTAAGAAATGCGGTAAAATTTGCGTGAACACGTAGCTGCGCCAGCACTGCCGGCAATTTGCGCGCGCCGTTGGCCGGCGTCACAGTCGAAGCTAATTCCTCGCGCGCAAATTTTACCGCATTTCACCTTCTATGCAAGCACACTATATTAAGCGGAAAATCTACTCGACTGTAAATCAACTCGATTTCATTACCCAGCTGTTTTTTCAAACAGCTGGGTAATTGAATCGAAATTTTGGACGGAGAAAATTCAGATAGCCCCCTAAGCACTATAGAAGAGTCCTTGCAGCGCTTGACGGCTCCGTCAAGGAGATCATTCACAGACTTCGAACCGACAGCATCGTCGAGCCGAGAACGGCCCAATGAAATCCGATGAAGTGTTGATGACGGAGTTCTTATCGGCCGCGCCATTTTGACGCCCCTTCTTCCCTTCCAGATGCCTTTTTCATGCACTAAGTGCATCAGAAAGACTGCGGAGTTGGCCGATAAGTTAAATAACCGCACCTCCTCCACTCAACCCCATCCCCCGTTGTGGATGGGATGAGTGGAGGGAGTGCTATTCAACCTCTTCCGATTCTCCTCCGCCCCCTTTCTTGGAAACCCTGTTGCCTTTTACTGACAACCCCGCCCACACAATCCCCGTAACACCAGACACACACACACACAAGTGAAAATTCGAAAAATGACCCAAAGTGGCAAACTCTGCCCACTCACGCATCCACCACTAACACATGTACAAAACAATGACCAATTGAAGTAAAAATAGAAATACTATAAACATGAGAAGACCGCCGATTTCCTTTCCGTCCTCGAACTTGTGGATATGTTGCAATCATGAAATACAATTTCAGTTTTATACTCGAGACTGGGAATACATCAATGACGATAGTCCGGAAATCCCTCTTCGGATATGAAAGCCTTTTATCGGGACTCGGGACAGCCTCAAACCTCGATCTGGCGAGGCCGCGCCGAAAAACAGCCAGGGCAGAGATCAAGCCGTCTTGGAGCGACTCCTGCAACTCGGAATAGCACAACAGAAACAAAAACACTAAAAAAATGTAAAAAAAGGCATTCCATGGCATTTCTCGTAATTTTCGGCTGGCGCCGTGCAGCTACACAGTAGTTGGTGCGGCTGTACCGACATGGCGCCAGCTGATGACAAATTCATGCAAGCGACGACGAAACCTGGAAAAAGAAAAATTATGTAGCAAACTCCACTCTGATAGATCTTTTTCAGCCCTATCAGCTAAGGTACAGCTTGCTTCGAGATTTTCGCCCCGCCAAAAAACATCCGAAACCTTCTCTTGGCTCAAAAACCTCATTTTGTTTTCTACTGACCCTATTAATCGAACAAATCAAGACTTTATCCAAAACCTCATAATTACCCTATCTCACAGATAATTCCTTCCATCGGACAACTCCGTCTACAAATAAGTCCGCTTATCTGACAAGATTTCTGGGTAGTTGTAATGGAAGGAAAACGGACTTATCTGTAAGGCGGACTTATCTGAAGGGCCTCATCTAAATCAAAAAGCGTACTTGTAAGATTTAAGGGTAAGTTTAGACATATTTTACAGATTGAATGCCCCAAATGATCATATTGACCAAAGGAAAGATCAGCTGACACTTTTACGAGGCGACATACACTCGAAAATTCCTTTATTTACAATAGACAGCCATAGACATGCATTCGAAGGTTCTTCTACAATAAATAGACAGCCGAACAGCCAAAAGTGATGGTTTGAAAGTGCATCCGCACGAAACTCTGAAACCTGAAACATGAAAAGAAGGAGCTCAAAAAACATAAATACCAAAAACGCTGAGGCACGAAAAAGGAAAAAGAACGGAGAGCGGAAAAGAAGCGAGAAACGATCTGAGCAAGTGAAAGAGTTTGAGTGCATCCGCACGGAAATGCAAACCTGAAACTTGAAAAGAAGGAACTTGAATCAACACGAACACCAAAAACGCCGATGAGCAACACGGAAATGTAGGAAATAACGTGGGAGAAACGATCTGAGCAAGTCGAAAACGAAACCGAACCCCAGAAGTGATGGTTTGAGTGCATCCGCACGAAAACCCGAAACCTGTAATCTGAAGAAAAGGAAGTTGAAACAACATAAACACCAAAACGCCGATGAGCAATATGAAAAAGGAAAAAGAGGAGAGCGAAAAAGAACGCGAGAAAAACGAGCAAGTCGAAAAGGAGAGCAGCCTACTTTTGAACATGCATGAGCTGTATAAGCGTATTGAATTGGCTGCATATGGACGCTTGGTCGCCCCGCAAGCATTGCAAATTTCTAGCATCTCCGGGCACTTACTTCGGCGTGCCCCGGAAGTACGTGTCTCGGCTTTTGTGACGTCACTGTAAGCAGACCGCCCCGTCGCCCCGCCCCACTCGACATCTTCAATGATTAAGAGCGTGCCCCGGATACCAGGGATAGCCGCTGTCCCCCGGAAGTCTTTTGCAACTGTCTGAATATAAAGATTTAAATACTAAGAACTGGTATAATCGGCTTTTCTGCTGAGTAGAATAAGAAAATTCCTGAGGATCTTACAAGGGAGGGACACTAACTTAGATTAGCGTTTTGAGTCAGCAGATCGAGGAGCACGCAAACTCTGCTTAGAAAAGAGGCCATAACTTGCTTCAAAATAACGCTAAGCAGTTAGAAACAGCATTTATTTGGAATCAGCGATCTAAGCTGATTCCAAATATATGCGTCCCATCTCAAAAGGCGAATCTGAGTTAGTATCCTTTCCTTGTTAGATACGCAAATTTGTTCCATGGCTGATGTCCCATTTGAAATATTGATATTTAATTCCCATTTCGTTCCTTACTGTAAGCGCGTAAGATTTATAGCCCATTTGACCTTATCAAAATCATTTCGAAGTTGCGCATAGGCTGACCTATGTATGTTTCAGAAGCACCGCTGACAATTTCTGGTAACAAAGGGCTAACATGCCTTGGCTTTGACAACTTGGCACATATCTATGGTGGGCATCATGCAACAATCGAAGTTCAAAACTACTTACCGTTATGTGACATTGATATACTGCGAAATTCTTTTACCGGAAAAATCAATTACATTGTGGAATCTGAGCCTGTTGACGATACTGCCTTAGGTAAGATTTTTTATAAGCATTCTCAAATGAATAGCCCTGATCGAATAACCTTCCCCTTTATAAGATTTTACATAGAGATGAGCTTCTTTAGGAGTGGCATTAATTATTGGAGGTCTTGCGATATTGTCGTCTATAGTCTACGGCAGCTCATATGCGATTTACAGGTGGGAGGAGAAACAAGAAAAATTGCGGGTAAGCCGTCCTGTCTGTCAAACTCCACGAAAAGATGAAAAATAAAAGGTTCGCAGTCTTTCTTGCTCTGTGCGCATAGGCCAAACGAATTCTACGCATAGTTGAACAGGCTGCTGCATGATGCAGACCTCAGCAAAATGCGGGAACAGTGGTAATCAAATTCTACCGGAGTATTCTGACACCAACTTATCAGTGATAGGAGAGCTTGGTTGGCCTGCAAGAGGGGGTTGAACCATTTCAGCGCCTCATACCACTATCGCGTCCACTTATCCCATTGACATTCATATCGACCTTAAAAACTGCAGGCGAAGCTTACCTGATATTTGAATTTCGATGTGATTTAGTTAGAAAACTTGAGAAATTTACGGAAGGTAAACTAGTAAAAACGGTACCGTTCATAAACATTGTCATCCATAAACACTGCTGGAGAAATGTTCCGTTGATTGTCGGCTGCAACGGTTTTTGAATAGGACCACTAAGGCAATTAGTAATTTTCCACATGTTCACTTAATGCGTCAGTTGAGAACTTAGCAATATTGAAAGCTTAATCTCAAAACTTTGGAAAACAAAAAATATATTGGTATTTTGCGAAACGTTCTATGTTAATGAAAAGTACTGTCATCAGCATACGGTGACACAATCATCCAAATGTAATACTTCAAAGGCGCGCTGCATCTAGTCTATCTCTCGAAAAATGTTGGAGAATTCTGTTCGTGTATGACTTGCGCCCACATGGTTCCATCTCACATTTACATCTGCTACTTCATTTTGTGAGCTTTTCACAAATTAGGCTGACCGCTAATGGTTTTGGATTGAGTTGAGACGATGTGAACACGGCTGCTTGTGTGTGCGCAAGCGGATTGTAGCTTGATGTCAACACCAAAGGTTGATTGCTTGCAGGAACAAGGATACGTCCAAGTTGCAGGCAAAAAGCACGGAACCACGTTTTCCAAGGATGATAATGGTAGATATGACAAGAAAGATTGATTGTAAAAGCGGATAGACCGCATTTTTGCTAATACCCAATATATACTGGCATTTATCCTAATTATTTTCTCTGTTATAGATGAATCCATAAACATTTTTGCCGTCCAAACAGAAAATTTACCTCTGTACTGGTAGAGATGTATATACATTGTGTTTCAACCCGGAGTAAGCGAAACATTCCAGTATAGCAGGCGTCCGCACCGCCGCTGGCTTAGCAAGATAGATCAAAATGAAAAGACGCAGACTGCAAAGCGGCGCGAATCGTTGCGAAGCGGACTCCCGCCACTTAATTTCCGCCTAAACTGAGTTGAAACTTACCATAGTTCACAACAAGTACGCAACTATAGAGCTATTGCAGCAGTGTGTGTGTGTGTGTGTGTGTGTGTGTGTGTGTGTGTGTGTGTGTGTGTGTGTGTGTGTGTGTGTGTGTGTGTGTGTGTGTGTGTGTGTGTGTGTGTGTGTGTGTGTGTGTGTGTGTGTGTGTGTGTGTGTGTGTGTGTGTGTGTGTGTGTGTGTGTGTGTGTGTGTGTGTGTGTGTGTGTGTGTGTGTGTGTGTGTGTGTGTGTGTGTGTGTGTGTGTGTGTGTGTGTGTGCACCAACAATACTTTGCAGCCCGTAGCGGCTACTTCAGTTGAAAGTTGCAGCAACTGCGAGTTCTCAGGCTGTGACTTTATGAACGACTTTCTTCCTCCTTGTGGTACTGGCTAGCCCTTTCATGAGCTTTTGATTTAGCTGTACTTTCGCTCGGAGGCGTTGATCGAAGCCATTTAAAAGGATGGGTCTACTAAAACATCAAGCATGCTCCAACTTCTTTGAGGTATGGTCAATCCGCGCATGAGTAGTTCCGCTAGACAAACGAGTTTAGGAGGCACAGTTTTCATGCGTAAAGAGAGATCTACCATGTTTTGGTCCATCACGCTTTGAGCTGCTGAAAATCTCTTGTGACTACATAAGTGTGGATAGAAAAGCTCTATGATCAACTTATCAGAGGGGTGTAAACCCACAAAAATGAATGATATACACTGCAAATCAGAGTTGTCTGATGATATAATTTAAACAGTATGAGCGGTGGTACATGTATGGGTGGTAGGAATAGCAAGCTAAACTGCGGCAATTATAGCACACGAGCGCGAAACAACAAATGTCTTACGCTGCTGCTTGTTCTTTCGAGAAGACTTCGTAAACTCAAAGTGTGCCACATCCTTCAAAATAACAACATAAGACATACAAAATTTTTTTTACTGGAGACATCTTGTTTAGACAAATCATGCAAAATTTCCTTTCTTTATCTCCAGCATTAATATCGCCTGCTCCCGACCCTGCTTTTTATTTCTCTCGGCAGACTGGTTTAATGCGTTTCTTAGCTGCAATACATCATTTTAACGGCAGTGTCCGGGAAAAACTCGATTTTGAGATTTTGTGCTTACTGGGGCCTATTCGCTATGCTGAATCCGAAGATTCACATTAAAAAGCGCGAAAACGGCGAGAAAGGGCTCTAACGTAGGAGTAAATTCAAAAGGGGGCGGGGTCTTCCCCACGTTGAATTCACGGTTCCAGCTTCCGGAGCGACCCTCTCGCTTCCGATTTCAGATCACGCATATGCACTTGGTCTGTAGAGATGTCAGGACGGTTAGCGGATTCAGAAAGATCGCTCCGGAAGCTGGGACCATAAATTTGCCTTTGGGAAGACCCTGCCCACTTTTGATTTCACTCCTCCGTTAGAGCCCTTTTCGCCGTTTCCGCGCTTTCCAGTGTGGATTTTCGGATTCAGCATAGCGAATAGGCCCCAGTAAGCACAAAATCTCAGAATCGACTTTTTGCCCGGACACTGCCTTTAAGCACTATGGATGAGGTCATGAGCCTTCAGCATTTCTTAGTGTCACAAATTTTCTCAAACTTCCTCCTAATTTGATTTTGTTGGCTTCCTTCGATGCCCATGAGTCTTGATTAACTGTTTTTCTTTTGTTTTGTGACAGTGCATTTTTCCAAACACTTGTTCAGCGCTTGAAGGTACCTATGTTGTGCTCTCGTCAGCTTTACCCAAGTCTGATTAGTCTCAAAAGCTGATATACATAAAATACGAAGCATGGGTCTGGTGGATGATAGTGAATGTATCGGTTTGGAAAATACCTATATCAGAATGACGCGAAGGTGCAATGCTCAACAAAGAGCAAATTTGGTGCTTAACTCTAAATCAACTTATCTGCGTTTCGGTTTTCTTCTTTTACTCCGTAACGCAAAGCAGATACCTTCTAAACCACATCGCTTTCACCGCCCTCCCTCATCGCGGAATGAAAATGAGTTCTGCTCAATTGTTTACATGAAAGTTGGGGGGGGGGGGCGGTTTGATGTCAGTGATAAGAGTTCATTTTTCTTCAAAATTGATAATTCAGTAAGGAGTGGGGATTTCGCTGCGTGAAGTAGCCTACAGGGTGACAGGTGTCCAAAACATATGTGTGCAAAGTTTGGAACCAATCGGTGCACACATAAAATTTTCTATAGAGAATACACTAACTAACAATTTACCGACACTCAGCTTTATATATGTATAGATAGGTACAGGGCTTTACGTCTTCAAAGGCATGTGCCAAACGCATTCTACTAATAGAAGAGCAACTATTAGGTTGTCAAGAAAATAATGTCGGTTTTTATTTGCTTGCTTCAACAAAGCAAACAGACTCAACCCAACAAAGGGTAAGGGGTACTGTTCGACAGAGAAAGCAAGCTCTACAAGATGGCATTCATGATTTTGCGCCAAGCTCGATCCACGGAGAGTTCGAACTCAAAATCTAAAGATTTCCAAATGCCCGAAAATCGGAATAAATCAGATCTTCGTCCAAATAATTTCTACGGACCTCCCACTCGCTCACTTCAATACTTTCGATATCTGATATCCATATGTGCAATTGGTGTATTTTTTCCTTGACTAGAAACTAAGAAAACGAAAATCTCCCTGATTTTTTCAAAGCAATGCTGAGCCGCTTTCGCATATGTAGTTCTATAGTACAAGCCTAGTTGAGTATAATTGTAGATTTTCAGCCCATTCCGAGCGGTAGTTTTCGAGAAATATCGAATTCGGGTTTTTGCTTCTCAGTTTCAGTGACATGACATACAGCTTCTTCGTGCTAAACCTCGCGTATGAGCACAGCTCTCCGTCTTGATCTAATGCTCCCAAGGTATTCTGTATCGTAGGTATCAATTTTGGTGTCTTGGTACGCAATGCGATTAGCGCAAAGCCACTGTTGCGGGTGACTGAGCTGAAGGTCGCGGGCACGAGTTTGAGGTAAGGCGAATTTTGGCACATAGAAACATGGAAAACATATGCTAGCTTTATTTCATTAAATTGCAAAGTTTTGAAAAATTGGGTATAATTTACACAAAAATTATCACAAATAAAGTAGAACATAAACAATATTATAGAATAGCCGTTTGGATCTGTGCAGATACATGCCGCTTCTTTAGCCATAGCACCAAATAATTTCTTTGCTCATACGGAAGGAAAGCAATTGGTGAGCAGCCAATGAGAGGCAAAACAGCAAAAATTATGTTGTAAACAACACATCATAAAAAAGGCATGCAGAAAAAACAACTTAGCTACAAAATGAAAATCGAAGTTAAAACAGCTAGAAAACATAAATCTGGCTGGCAAAGGTTGTAAGGTGCATGACAATCGGAATGAACTCGCTTGTCCAGTTTCCATAGCGAAAAGCGGAAGAAAACCGATGAAGAAGAGAATAGATTTTCGAGCGCTAGGTGGTTTCCAGTTCTTAGCCGTTGATATTGATAGCATTTGCCGTGTGTTAGATTTAGTGATCTGTGCCTACGGTCGTTGCGTACAGGACCAACTCGGCATACTCGATCCTTAATCGGATGCTCCTTCCTGCGTCTCCAGGCTTGGCGCACTATTTTTTGTCTTACCGGAATGAGACGACGCGCATGATGTGCTCGTCCTATGCGCACGAGAACTAGCAGGTCCTCCAGTCATCGATTTCATCCGGCGGCCAATAAGAGAAAACCGCCGGATGAATCGCGGCCAAGACGACGCGTACTGTTTACTGCTACAATGACACAAGTGAGAATATAACGAAAAATATAACGCCAAGATACAAGATTTTAGACAATTATTGCATCTGTTTTTACACTATCCGGTTTCGGGACTAAGAACTATACCGGTAGTGCAGCTTCTTGTTACCCCTCATCAGTAATTCCCAAGAAAGCTTCAAAAATTTGGAAAGAAAGGTAGCCTACAGAATCTTAGCGGAGTGAAAGGCATAAAGTTTAAAAACAAGTCAAGACAAGTCGGCACATTGAAAGTAAAGTCAAAGGTAACCACGAATGTCACGGCAATTGGTTGCAACCTCATATTCAAATGAGTGTCATTCCGCCGTGACCTCAGAGCGCGCTAGCGGCACCCTATGTATGGCGCAGTTCATGTATTAGGTTGGAAACTAAGTTTTGCAACTCACTAAATAATCTTGGTCTCATTTAATATGAAGCACTCAAATTTTGCCAGTATGTTCTTTATAACGTAAGCTACAAACATAGCTGCTGTTCAGCCAAATTTTCAACGTCGCAGTGAGGATTACGGTAGGTATACGGGGTATGAAGGAGAAAATTGCAAATCATTACGGGTTTGGCTAAAACTTGGCATAGGAGGGTTTTCCGACATTTGATCACGAATAACATGCTGAATTTGCATGGTAAGGGCTTTTCTGTAAGATTGCTGTAGTTTAACAGTGTGGGGTCTCACCTTAAACAATGAAAAAGACTTTAATTCAACAAACTAAATGGTATTCATGTTTAGCAGTTCGAATAACCTAACTATGTGAAGTCTCCGCGGATTTTGACATTCCCACTTCTTAGTCATTAATGGTTGTCCCCACCACCCTTGGGTACTTCAACTTTGTAGGGCGATAGATCTCGACATGTCTTTCAAATCTACGGCTTTCTTATTGAATGAGTCACCCTCAAGTAATAATTCAAATACAGTCTTGGATCATTATGCATGATGTAGGTCGCAAACGGCTTCATTTTTGTTTAAAACTTCATAAATTCTGGAAAATTTAATATTTTTGGAAAAATGCTTGTAATTTTTTTCTCGTTTTCAAAAATTAGAGAGTTTATGCATGCTTGTAGTACACATTGAGGTCTACATATAGCCAAAGTTTGACTGCAATATGTTCAAAGAGAGCTAAGTTATGAAAGCAGTTGCAAAACAGTTTCCAACCTAATAAAAGAAGCAAATGATAGTTGTAGCGAATTCGTATTTACGCATTATAAATGGTCTATCGATGAATAATGAATATGTGATAGAGTCCATTAATAAAAATGTGATAATCCCACGCATTATTCTTAGACGTCATGCTATGTTCGATTATTCTTTCTTTGAATTGTTCTAAGTACTTCTGAAGCACAAGCATTGAACAATATGTATCGTGGTATATTCGATCCCCACTGTGGATATCTATTGACCTTGAAATTACACGCATCCGTTTTATTGTATATATTAAACTTGATCTTGTTTTCGCAAACTATCATGTTCAAGTCAAGAAAATTCGTTTCAATTAACTGACGTTGGTTTTGTCTATCTCTGACTCAAAGGATATATCTCTTACAAACTTCGTTCGAACTGTGATGCATCATTAGAAACGTGCAATATGTCATCTATGTATCTATATGTGAATTTATATAATGTATTGACATGAGTTCGTGTCCTTGTTAGCCTCTTCATGAATTCGTATTCCATGCAAGCTAAAGTAAGATTTGCCATTTGGGGGGCTGCACGAAGCACCTTCTCAGATAATCGCCGGGGGCAGGCGGCCATGCGAATTACGGGCAGGCGGGCACCGGAAAAATAGTTCGCTCATTTCGGTTCGGTCCGCTTGCAGATATTCGAAGAATTTTGGCGAATTTTAGGCAAATGCTCGAGGAACAATTGCTGTTTTTTCATAGATTAGTTGCGTCACAGTGGCCGCATTTTCGCGGAACTTCCGCGAGAATATGCAAGATTATTGGGGGTCGCGCGATCCTTTGCGAAGCACCGCACAGCCCATAGGTACCTTCTGCTGAGAGAAAGTGCCCCAAACTCGGGTAATTGAACCATTGATGGCACCTCTGTTACGTAGAGTGCAGTGGCGGAACGAAGGGGGGGGGGGGTAGGCGGGGGGGGCATGCACTCCAAAAAATTTTTTGGAGTGCGTGGCTAACGCCACGCACCTTCATTGAAAATTTTTTTTGCCGCGCCATCCTGGGACCGCCACTGGGGTTAAGGTATACCTTTTATCTGCCTATAAACAACGCCACCAAAAAATAAATTGCTAGACTCTAATAAAAAATCTATCATACAGGGTGTCCCAAAAAAATGTGAACACTGTTTGATTGTTGATAACTCCCTTGCTTTCACGTCTTTCGTCGAGCTTGAGGCACCATTCTATAGAGCGAGGTTTAGCTTAGATTTATAGTGTGGAGCGAATCGGCGATCGCTCTTCATTACCGTAGGACTACGGTAGGAGCTTCGACAAGGAATTTAGGCCATTGGAGGCCGTATTCTGCCTCGGAACAGAACCAAACAAGCCAAAAACTTCTATATTATGGTAATGGAAGACGCTGATTTCGAATATGAAATTTCCACTTTATTGGGATGCTTCTTTTTAAGGTTATCCTAGGTAAACCGTAATAATTGAATTTCCAGCATTTGTCAGAAATGTGATTACCCCGTCAAAAAAGCTAAAAACACTCGTAAAAAGTTGTCTAATGGAATTAGCGTGCACGAAAACCCTAGTACACAATTTCTCAGATTTTTTGAATAAACTTTTGTCAAATGGCATATTTCACAATAGATCCACATGCTAGAAGTTCATACCGTAATCTTACAGTAACGAACAGCGATCGGTGATTCGCTCCATACTACAAATCTAAGTTGAACCTCGCTCCACAGAATGGTGCCTTAAGCTCGGCGAAAGACGTGAAAGCAACGGAGTTATTAACGATCAAACAGTGTTCACATTTTTTTGGGACACCCTGTATATTCAGGGTGTCACAAAAAGATGTGCCTACTGTTTGATTGTTAATAACTCTCTTGTAATGAATGTTTCGAGAAGCTTCAGTGCATTTTGTGAAGCTGGATAACTTAGATTTATGGTATGGAGCGGATTGCCGACTGCTCTACATTACTGTAGGATTATGGTAGGAACTTTGAAGAGGGATTTGAGCCATGAGAGGACGTCTTTTGCCTCAGAAAGGAAAAAAAGGCAATCTGAAAATTCTCTCACACTGGGCTAATTAGATTTGCTGATTCTAAATTTAAAGTTCGCAACCTATTATACATGCTTCATTGAGAAGTTATGCGAAGTAAGGAGTAGTTCGTTCTCAAGACATCATGCGGCAAGTTAGTAAAAAGACTAGAGAAATCGGCTGAATACTTCAAGGCTGCCATGAGCTGTTGTCAGTTTCCTCAGCACCTGATTACTATTTTCTATAGTCCAAAAAAGTTTTATTCTTATTCTTTGCCAAATTACTTTGCAGTAATTGTAAATGCCTTCTTATATGTGCAAGTATCAGTTGTAGTTTAGCCAGAAGCTTCAACGAACTTCCTTTTTAACAGTAATGAATCTGAACTCAATCGGTGTTTTGTGCATTCTTAGAATGCCGTAGATTCTAGGAATTACACTATCTTCGTCTACAAAGTTGATATTTGAACTGCTAAGAATCCTTTTGTACTTCAACAAAACATCGTTTTCACTTAGTCTTAGTTCATATGTAAGTATATCCAATCAAAGCCGATTGCTCCAATTCCTTCTTCATCAAATGTAAGTAGAATTTCTTGCAGGTGAAACTGTAATTTGACGTGGCTTTGTTCACTGGAGTTACGATAAAATGTCTTTGCAACTTTCTCAAAACTTCTGCATCATATTCGTCATAATCGATCTGTTCTCGATCCCACATATCGAACAATTTCTCAGGTTCAATTTCTCAATCGACGGCATACTTCCGGAGGGCATGGGGAACCGCCAAGGTTTCCCCAGCGGCGGTTGCCCCTCGTTCTCCGGATCCTTCCCATTTTTTTGCTCCGGAAATCCACCCGAAAGCCTATCGTGGCGTACTGTTGCTAGCCCTGGTCGAGCTCTACACCCCAATTTATGCCCCTAAACCCCACCTAGATTAATCCCACACACTTAATTCCACTCAAAGCTAACTGAAAAGATGGAACACTAGTGAAATTATACTCGGGTTTGAGCAAGGGGTTGGCACACAAAGGCCCGATACGACACCCTCCCTAGGTGAGGCCCCGCAAGACCCCCCCCCCCCTCCCCTCACCCTCGCCCCACCCAATCCCCTCCCGTAATCCTTGTATGTATATGTATAATACATGTAAAAAATCATTTATGGACAAATTTCAACATAGTGCATTGAGATTAATTGAATTGGAATGAAAAAAGTACAACTCCAGGGATGAATCCTAATAGCCGAAGGTAGTCAGTCACATAAGAAGCGGATGAATCCTTTCCAAGTTTATTCACTATCATCTGAAGTAGAAATAAATCATGACATGACCAGAAGCAATGATGACTACCTATACGTCAGCAATTTTCCAAGGAAAGAATCAAAGCTTGCATCATTTAGATCCATAAACCATGCCAGTTCTTTTGTGTACAAGAAAGTGTATAATTTCAGACAGCCACGCAAGACTGGCAGAGCCATTTGTGCTTCAACTCCTTCCAAGAACGCTTGAGATTGCCGCAAAAGTAGTTCCTGTAAGATGATTTTCTAGCATAACGAAAGTAACAAGAAATCCAGACCTTTGAAAGATTTGGATTTCTTATCTTACTTTCGTACACAAAGGTGGACGGCGACAGAATTTTGGCGCAAGCAAAACGAAAAATCCTGAAGTGCACCCATATAATTGAATGAACTTTCAGAGATGTGCCAACGAGTTATGAAAATAGCGAGGGTGTCGGAAAAATTATAAGATGAATGGTATGAAATGAAAAAAATATTGGAAGACTTTATAACAGCATACGAAAAAACCGAAAGAATTTGTGATGAAGTCCGCCTACATAGAACGTAGAATACTCGAGATGGCAACACACTACATTCCTAATTACTCACCATCAAATTGCTCTAAGGAGGAAAACCTGCTGCAGCTAATCGTTCACGTTTCTAGCTGTAACCCAGAACGAAACCACTGATTTGATACCTCAGTCAGGCCGATATCACACTTATCCGATTCAACCGATTTATCAGCCTCACACCTTCCACTATTGGTCTTGCTGGTGAAGTAATGGTGTATGGGTGAACCGGATGAGCCGGTTGAACTGCTGGATAAATTAGGCGCCTATCTCAGCAGAGACATACAAACCCAAGGGGCCCATACCTTGATATGGTCCAGAGGACGAGGTTTGTCAAAAGATTGAAGAGTGCATCCACACAAAATAGATGCAGAGTGCTAAAAAACTTCACAGTGATATGTGCTATCCCATGTAAGAATACCATTAGAACCGCCTCAGATTTTACGTTCCTGGAAGTCAGAGACCCGTCATACATAGTCAAGAAAAGCCCAAAAGCGGCCAAGAAAGCCCAAAAGAGCCCAAAAGGACCAAGAAAAAGAACAAAAGCGCTCACGCTCAAAAAACCCAAAAATCCAAAAAAGCACAAGAGTCAGAAAGAGCCGGAGCACTGAAACGAAGTAGAATTTTGCCATTTTTTGATGCCAAGACGACAGAAAATGGGGCAAATGACTCGATTGCGAAATCGACACATGCCTTAGGCAAGCGCTACACTTGTATTTGATCCGCTTAGTCCACTTGGTCCATTTGATCCACTTCGTCATTAGTCAATTCAGTCAACCAACCGATAGCGAAGCGGCTGCCCACTTGATGCGCTTATTCTATCATCTGCTTCTCTATTGGTCCGCCTTTTGATTGACTGATGACGAAGCGGATCAAGTACTAAGCGGATTAAGTAACCAGTAATTAACAACCACTTACACAGCACATTGAATTAAATGATGTATCCTCGCAATTTTGGCAACGCCTACAGATACTGATTAAAGAGGCTCGGCAAAATTGCGAATGCGCACTTTCCACAACTACCTGGGCTCCTGGATCCGCTGAGTTTGGTACTGTGCTTGAAAAGTCAACGGATTGAATTGGAAAGTGCATCCGCACGTTTTACATTAGAAAATTCAGGAGCGAAGCGAAAACGAAGAAGACGGATGAGCAACACGTCGCGAAGGAAAACGTATGAAAAATGATCTCTGAAAGCTGAAATGGAGCAGCCTATTTTCGAAAGCCCTAAGTGCGTATCAGCGTCAGCAAATTGGCGGCGTACCATGATTGCTTCGGAGGTGCTGCGCGTTTAGCTTCACGGTGGTCTCGCAAGTTTGAGGCGCCTCCGGAGCACACATTTGCGAATTCTCCGGAAGTGTCCTTCTCGGCTTTTCGTGACGTCACCGCGAGTGGACCGCCCTTCGCCCCACCCCTGCAATGGTCAAAAGCGTCCTCCTGAAATGTAAAAGGCAGCGTTCAGACAAATCTGGACATATGGGGCCCCTTACGGAACGTAATTTTGGGACCCTAACTAAGCCACTGCCCAAGCGGCAGCCCAGGTAGTGCTCTAACGGCTAAGATATTCGAATATTTTGTTTGTGTTATTAATATTTTGTTTTTATATTTTGTTTTTTTCGATCCATTTGGGCAGTGGCTTACTTAGGGCCCCAAAATTACTATCCACGTGAGAGCCCCGTAGTCCCTATTTGCCTGGACGCTGCCTTTAAAAATTTCCTCTATCCTCCGGGAGTATTTTGCGAATTGTGTGAGAATAGCAGAGAAACTTGCCATCGAGACCAGACTTCAAGGACTTGGTTTTTTTTTCCAAAAATTGCTAAATCAACGTTGCAGTTACGAACACATTACAAAGAGCCAAAAAATTAGCGTTACAGTGCGCATACGTAGGAAGATGAGGAGTACGGTAGCGGAAAACTTTGTGATTAGATTCAGCACCCGCAAAAACCTCAGTTTACGTCCTTCGGTCTTTTTGGAATTTTTCAGGAGCAGTTCTCGCTCAGAAGCTTAAAATTAGTCGAAAATTCCTACCGTAATCCTATGGTAATTAAGAAGAATCGGTGATTCGCTCTACACCGTAAATCTAAGCTGAACCCAGCTCTACCGTATAACGCCACTCAAAGATCGGCGAATACTTTCCATACAGGGAAGTTATTGAAGATCAAACGTTCGATACATTTTTTGGGACACCCTGTAGTGGCTTTATCTCATTTTTTACTCAACAATTACAGATATTCTAGACATTTTTTCCTTTGCTAATTCTTAACAGATATATGAGTCAGTTCTCCTTATTGCTAGGTTATCGCTTCATAGATTGAGTCATCGCTGCGTAGTTGCCTAATGGGCTCCGAATATTTTTCTCTGTAGTCATGCAGCATACACCGTTTTGAGTTATTCTGATTCGTTTACGACTTTCTAAACTTTCTCTACGAATTTACGACTTTCTAAATTGCTCTCTTTTTCTCGGAAATGACGCTACTCCATCCACATTATCTTCGTCATAGCACGTCAACGGCACCAACAAATTTCATCTAATATCTTTTCTTCAGTCCTTGTGAAAAACTGCCCCACTTTTCTTTACGGCATCTTATTTGAGAGGCGCCCAAATTCCTATCGATATGATTTGAAGGCGTTGACTAAGCTGATCGAGCGGCAGATACTGTGATCATTCTTGCTGAGATTATCGTCAGATCTGCCTGTAAATGTCGCTTTAAATTTGACGTTGGAACCTTTGTCTCATTACTTTTGGACTTGGAAATAGGAAAAGAATTCCGAAGTTTGCCTGAGCTTGAACAATAATTTTCCGAGCGCTATGTCGTAAGAGTTACTGAATATGATTCAAAGGTTCGGGAGCAGAACCTCTGCAAAATTGTGTCTATTGTGATGAGTCTGCCACTGTATTAACTTTCTAATACAGTTGGTGCTTAGCATTTCCAAAGCGACCGTTTTCCTGTGAATGCATTTCTTGTGACCAATTTGCACGCAATCTAAAGGAACCGTCCATGTTCTCTCAATATCTTCGGTGACACTGTTCAGATATTCAAACGTTCAAATAAGAACTCTCAAGTGTACACTTTTCTTTATGCACTGGTCTGACTCGATCACATAAGGCAAAACCCTAGAAACATGCGCACTAAGGCTTCCTTCCAAGATGATTGCGAACAGCACAGCCCCTGATCATAAGGATACAATTTGTTCTCGAATTTTAAACTCCCCCTCCCCCCTAAGACGGTCCCGAAATTCCTGTAAGTTACTTATAAGCTATAGATAGTGTAAGTGAGTTTAAACCTGTATTTAATTGAAAGATTCTAGAACTTTTTTTCTAGAAATTGGACATGCAAAGATTCTAGAAAGCAGCCCAAAAAGCTCTGAGATTGCGTGGATGAGTCTATGCACCTTCATTCGAAAAAAATTATGTTGCTTTTCCCTCCATCCCTCCGTCCCGAACGAAAATCCCGGGACCGCCACTGCTATGAGCCACGTACTTCTGAGAATCGGCTTTCATTCAACATTTGCCTGTGCGAAATAGCGGTTCAAAGCGGTCCATCCGCGTCAGCTGTACACTTGCAACCGTAGTCTTCTTTTATTTCTATCAGACCTTTCGCATTTCATCATCGATGTATCGTCCACGCTTCTGCAAATAAATGTATGTTTTTCGGAGCTGTTTACCTGCATATAAAAATGCTCAACTTTGCGTACGATAGTGTCAAAATGATAATTATTTGAGATAATTACGAACTATAAGTTTTTTCTTCCATGCTTTAGGCGTCGATTACAAATCGTTTCTACGACTATTTTTTCTGCAATGACGTTTAGTAATGTCTCCTCTTCCTTGACTCCCTTTCAAAGTATTACGAGCACATCATAGGTACAAAGCTTTTTTGAGCATTTTTTTTTTGATATAACTGAATTTCTTAATTTAAGCGGCACTAGGAATCCAACTCATTGTGTTGCCGTCGTTAAGAATAAAGCGTTCTGCGCGTTGTGCTGCGTTATGCTGTGCGTTCTTCACTCACTGATCTAAAACAAGTCCATCCTTTTTCTCTGCAAGCTACTTGCTATTTGCTTTATGAATGTATCATTTATTGGCATGCAGGTGTGAGTTTTTAAAGTGAAGACGGAGAGAATGCCTATCTAAATCATCAGTGTTTCGCAATACAGTTTACCTAATTTACTTCATTGATAATGCCCAGACTCAATATGAAAAAGCATATTAGAGCCTGCTTCATTTTAATCTTCTTGACCTAATTCTCATAATTAAAGACCATTTGAGAATTTCGCATTTGTAAGGAAAATTTAGCATAAAAAATGTCGGTACGTTATGAGATATGTACATTCTGTGCCCTCCAACTGCCTGCACGATAAATTGAAGATTTCTTGTAATACGCTCAAAGCACATCATTCGCTCTTTAACGACAATAAGGAGTATTGACTCACAAATTGGAAGTTTTAACTCTCAAGGAAGGAAAACACAAAATCACAAATTACCAGTCGACAAAGCATACAAATTATGCGCAACGTAGCTTAAAAAGTTACTACCTTTGAGAATGAAATTAAGGTCATGCGCGCAGAGTGGTATAATAATTTTTTTCATTTGAGTACAAAAGGCGCTCGTTATTTTATTGACAGATCTTGTGAGCTAAGCGAGCAAAAACGGAATGGCAGGAAACACGGGTAATCGAAAATCGTGTAAAAGTGAAGGCGTAGGAATGACTGTTAATGACGCAATCTGGTATCGGTTAGAATATAAAAACAGATGAATGTTAGTGATTGCTTTCACACTTCATTATTCTTCTTTTTTCCTCTCTCTCGCCTTGACAAAGTCTTGTGAAAAAGTTCTTTGATTAAAAAGAGATTAGATGCAAGCACGTGCTGAGGATCTATATTATAAAACTTGAAACTAAATTCGTTTCGATGTTTTGGGCATGGGGTAGCATATTACAAGCGGTAAAATGTTCTTGCAACTAGCTAACTTGTCAAAGAAACTGGGACGCATTTATACCATTTGAAATAATTCGTAATAAAAATTCAATTTGGCTTGTATCAGCACGATCATTATTGTGGAACCCAAGTTTTTTGAAACTTTATGCAAAAAAATCACAATTTCGGATAAGTCGACTTCAAACAAGTAAAAGGCTTTTCCATGGACTTGTGAGTGATAAAAAATCATTTGTTCGCCTATCTGACACTAACACTGACACTTTTCTCTTGTACATTCAAGCTCACACCTAAGCTGAAACATTTTTTTTATCTTTCTCCGAAAATTTTCATAAACTTATAGATCGTCATAATTATTGATCTTCATCGATTTTTTTTTCAAATCTGACCTCGGCTATGGAAAAAAAGATGATAACGGCAAAAAAGTTTACTTTGTTATGGAACTTGTTGTCAAGATTGTAATCAAGAGATATGACGGGTTTTGGTCGTTGTGCAAGCTAGCGTCCATTCGATTATGCTTGAAGCAGATTGGCGGATTTAGAACAGAGATGTTTAACGCAGAAGTCTTTTTTCTAGTCATCGTGATGTTCTACTAATAGAGTTTCACTATAAGTTTCCACCATAGACTTCATTTTATGCTATTTATTCTACCCGTCAACAACGAATCAAGGAATAGTACTAATTTCGAACTAAGCTGAAAGACGCATAACATTTCCGCATAGCTTCAATAAATCAGTGACCTGCGTTAGAACTGTGAAAGAGCAAAGCTGAGGGCTGTCATACGCCAAACGACAATAAATTTGCCGGGTCAGGGAGGCATGTAATTTTTAGATCATCTGACATTACAGCTCAAGCACCCCCATGAATTTTATCGCCCGTCATTTTATCAGTGCAAATGCGTACGAACAAATTACATTCTCAGAGTCAAGGCAAGTTTTTAACTAGTGTAGAAAGCAATTTAACAAAAGACACTTGTTCTACATTAGATCCAAAGAAACATATTTCCTAGAAAAGGTACATAGTTGCTTTCTAGAAAATGGTACCTTACGATCTTCGTGCTTTTTGCTGACCCGAACTTTCTATGCGTAGTAAGCTGTCCCACAGTCTTGCACACCGACTTTTCAAAAATTCTAACCGCTCCCATTTGTTGAATTCATTTGGTCCAACGCTTTAGAAGAAATAAATCGTCCGCTTTATCTAATCAATTTTTCTTTTATTTGATCATTTATTTACCATACTTGCGGTGCATCAGAAAAGAAAAAAAAAGAGAAAAAAGTGAGTCAGTCACTAGTTTCCCAGATTACTTACTGCAAAAATTATTGCTCGCAAAGCGGCGATGTAAATTTCTAAGCTATAATACAACTCGATTTAAAGTGGTTAAAAAGTGGACTTAATCATAATATTTGAGTTTTTTATTTGTATTATGAGCGACCCTTTCCAAGCAAAATTCCTGATCGCAGACCCCCACCAAAAAGCAGCGGTTTTTCAGGCTTTACTTCCATTTTTCGATTTCGGTCTATTGAAAAAATTTTCATAATTTTTTAGTGCAAGATTCATGAAAGAAACACTAACAGGATGTTTGCCGATTGACACTGTTTGGACACTTGAAGTCAAAAAATATTCAGTTGAAAAATGCAAATAGACTGTCCAGGCTTGTTAAGCGCAAACATCTGCGACCTCACATGACGATCAAACCATTATTCAGAAACCAGTCCATGTTTTGGACCACAATCATCAAGCTAGATAAATGCTATTCGTTTCTAAAACTTGAGTCATAACCTTAATTGTCAACTCAGCCATTTAAGCCACTCGATTCGACCATAACATACTAGTGAAAATCTGTGCAGGTGGTTTATTTCATTCGTGAGGATCATCTGGCTTTAAAGATCGATGAGCTGTGCTGCTCTAGCATGAACTAAACTACTCAGCTTTACTATATGGATAATTTTGAGCCACTTGGTCTTGAGATGAGCTTTTCGCGCCAGGGAGGCTGCCTAAGTTCAAGTATCAGTCAAGGATTCAAGTAAAGAAAGATTAGGCAGGATTCTTCGCACTATTTTGAAATCGTAAACTTTGATATCCACATGGTTTTGGTTGGCGCATTTGTAATAAGGAGTTATGTAGTTTTTTATTGATTTAAAGGCTTTCTTCCAGCTCAGCTGCAGTGATAAAAATGCGAGAACAAGATCGCTTAAGTTTCAAATCCCATTAACCTTACTAAAATTTGAAATCGAGGCGAAAAACTTACAAAAAAGATTTTGATACCTTTTCTTTTTAGATGAACAAAATTCTTTGCTGATCAAAAACTCCCAGAACGAGTCATAACTTTTCTGAAACCTATTAACTGCGAAATTGACTTATTCTCCTCAAGAACCTAAATTTTCAAAAAAAAACAATCCATCAGCATATTTTGCTTAATTCAAAGAGAATCTCACGATCTAAGTCTCCCACTGTCCCGATTTATGTTTTGTAATGTTTCTAATCTGTTATGCGGATATGAAAAAACATACTGTAATCTCCTCTTCGCATTTGTCTCCGCAACCTCTGTTATAAAGAAGGCATTCAAACTAGTCAAAAACTACAAGATTTTGAAGCTGCCTCAAATTACAGTCAAGATGAGCACATTTGCCAGACGTCATTCATACCGGTATCAATCATCTCTGACACTCTGATGCAGTTATGATTTCGAGTTAATCTGTGAAACGGTAAACAGGCTGTCAAAAGTGCATTCAACAAAGGTGTCGAGCTCATCACCTCACCAAAGTCATAAGAAAGAGTGGTTCATTTCTGGTACAGTGGTCCTTTTAAAATATTGTCACATATGATGAAGCAACTGTTATAATCATGACAAACACATTCTATACCCTTCGTCATAAAACTTTTTGTACCAAGCCGTTGCTGAGTGAACTATCTTAAGCTTATGCGAAAAAATTGCTCAAAAAGTTTTTCTATAGAAACCAAGTTTGCTGAAACTTTTAGTTAAAAAAGCGCAACATCGACTGTCCATTATTTGTTCGACAATTAGTGCATTTAAATTATCTAGCAACTGTTCCTCGATCATGTCAGCTGGTCATAATGGATAGTTTCAGCGTCCTCACTTCACTTCTTCATCTTGACAGACTTAGGAGCGGTCTGTAATAAATATGATCTCATAGCACATAGCAACGATTTTTTTCTGTGAGTGGCTCCATAACAACCTCCTGAAGAGAGGTGAAAGAAGTGCATCTTCTTTTCTCTGACGCTCAATCAAGTCTTTACATCGCCTTTTCAAACTTTTATAATTAGTCGAGCTGTTAAACCTTTGTTACACACTACGACGTATCAGTTCTTGTCGTACGTCTTTGAAAACTCTTTGAACAACCTACATATCAATGGCAAGAGACAGTCGCAATCAAGATGACTTATCTCGTTCATCACTTTTTACTGTTTCACGTACAAGAACTGCATAATTTTCGATGAAACGGTTGCAGGTCACCAAAAGCTGCTACCTTGCCATATCTTGGTTCAAATTAATATTATTCATGTTCAAAGAAGAAGAACTAAAAAAAACAACGGAACTCAGCTCGACGATGCGCAAATTTTATCATATAGAAGTGCCTGTTTGGGTACGGTAACCCACCCACTGCCTACGCATCTAGAGGCTCAAGATACTATCTGAGTTCGAGATGAAAATGGTGAAACGACGAGTTGACTGGCGTTGAGGGTGGAAGTTAGAAAATCTTCCAAGACGAACGGTAGCAACAAGAAAATATGTTTTTATAATTCTTCATCATTGTTTGCCGCTTGAAAATGAACGCATTAGATTTTGCAGAAGCGAATAACTGAACATTGGTTCATTTTTTATCCTCGGCCGTACGCGTAATTTTTGACTGAGTTACCTATGCAAAAAAGTTGCAGTGGGCAAAAGTCTTTCAATGATTCTTATGCTTTCTGCGCTTGAATTGCAACAATCTTGTCAAAATTTTTGCACGATTTCACTTACGTACACAATAGTTTCCAAAAACTCACCGAGTTGCGAACGCCATAATTCCCACCTTCGTGACTGCTATTCCCCTTCCCAGTCTTCAAATTTATGGCATTCTTTTCATTATTCTGTGCAGCACTGCGTCTATTGCACATTATTTGTAGTCACAATCGAAGCGAAATAGCCAGTGCATACCTCTATTTAGATTTTTCTTCTTTTTCCTTGGCTCATAATTGCGTTTCCTGTCTTGAATATACTATATCATCTCAAGCATTGAAAGTGGTACCTACGTTGCACACAGCCTAGAAATATGGTTTTTTCTCCGTTATACGAAGGCTTGGCTCTCTGCTAGGTAATAAATGTTATGCTTTTGCTAACTGCCATTTGTTCTGCTCTCCATTCGACTATGTTATCATTTTTCTTTGATTTTAAAGTATCAACGATTGAAGTGGAGACACTGCGTATGTATCAACAACACAAGATTCTTCTCGCTTCTTTATACTGATTAAGACAAACCAAGTTGCTGGCTAATCGTCTCTCGGTAATGCAGATATTGCTATTTTATTGCGAAGCTCTTTGAAAAGTGTGAAAAAATAAAAAAATCCTTTTCGTGTTTTTTCTAGGAAAAAACACGAAAAAAGCTCTTCAAAGTAAGTCGTTCTTAGTGTTCTTTTTTTTTTGTTAACATTCAACTTCACCATATTACGCTACATCATCTAACCTCAATTCGAGATGGTCTATTCCTTGAAACATCTAAAATTCTAATATTACATTTACAAAAAAAGCCTTCCCATTTTACGTGCACTCTGCAGCAGATATTCTTTAGCTCACATTTCTCGCAAAAACAACTTGCTTCCTGCTTGTACAAGACTTTTTTTGTCATCTGATACTTTTCTCTCTATTCGATCACGAGTGGGTTGAAAGCACGAACCATTACAACTTTGTGGAAAAACTATTGGCGTCAAGTAACCTTGTTGAAATTTGTCGATTAGTAACTTTGTCGCTTTCGTGACACCAGCTCAAAAAATCGTTCATTATTCAGCTATCACTTATCCGCTATCAATGCGGAATTCTGTCTTCAAGTACTATTCAATTGCAAGTTTCAACCAGGCCATTTTTTCGTGCTCTTTGCTCATTTTGATAAATATTATATTTTGAGTATTTTGAAGTTGCTGATCTCTAGCAACAGCGACGTGGAAATTAGATTTTCTTTCAACATTTGCCAACAATGCAGCTTTCCCATCTATCTGTCTTTTTTTGCGCGCTGCCAGAAATTGAAGAAACAGTATTGCAGCTTTGCATCAATATGAAACGTCAGAAGATTTTATATTCAAAAACATGGTTTCGTCTGCATTGAATCAAGTTTTTTATATTGGCTTTCTGTTAGAAAGAGACCGAAACTGTTCTACCAAATGTTTCAAAAAGTATGTCAGAGTAGAGCATACTATATGTATGTAGTAGTTAGCTCCAGCCCATAATGACCATATACTACTCATTCCTTGCTATAATAAAACCCAACACCAACATCCACACCAATCCAAACCACTCCACATCAGTCCCGCTACCACAGCCCGTCATCAACATCCACACCAACTGCACCATCACAACTAGCACCATCATCTATTATACATTCGTACCACTCCAGATAACCTCGACATTACAACTGCAGCACCACCATCCATGCTACCTAGAAGCTAAAACTCAGCACCACCATCAGCACCAATCCATACCATCCACACCGATCCACACCATCCATACCATCCACACCAATCTACACCATCCACGCAGATCCACACCATCCACACACCAATCCACACCATCCACACAGATCCACACCGCTCCACATCAGTCCCGCTACCACAGCTTGTCATCGCCATCCACATCAACTGCGCCATCACCACTACACCATCATCACATTCATACCACTCCACGATAACCTCGACATCACAAGAGCAACACTACCACCATGCTGCCAGGAGCTAGAACTCAGCACCACCATCAGCACCAATCCATACCATCCACACCGATCCTCACCATCCATACCATCCACACCAATCTACACCATCCCCGCAGATCCACACCATCCACACACCAATCCACACCATCCACACAGATCCACACCGCTCCACATCAGTCACGCTACCACAGCTTGTCATCGCCATCCACATCAACTTCGCCATCACCACTACACCATCATCACATTCATACCACTCCACGATAACCTCGACATCACAAGAGCTACCACCATGCTACCAGGAGCTAGAACTCAGCACTACCATTAGCACCAATCCACACCATCCACACCAATCTACACCATCCCCACAGATCCACACCAGCCACACCAATCCACACCGTCCACGCTCCTCACCATCAGATGTGTATCACCACCATCCATCTCTATTTCCATATTTCGTTTTACCCAGGATTTATAACAGCGCTAAATCCAGATATGAAACTCAGGAAGCTCCAAAGGGCTATCTCCAAAAATCTTGAACGAATGCTCGTACGCTAGCCTTGTCGAAAGCAAGCATGAACACTTTCGAACAGTAAGCAATTTTGCAGCATAAAACCGCTACAGAATTTCCGTCGTTCGAGGGGTCAGACGGCACACCGGAGAGAGCGGTCCACACAAGAATTTGAATTTCGGTCCAATTTCCTCTTTTTAGAGACAGTATCTGGAGATCGAGTTTGCGCAGTAGCTCTAGTTTTGAGGTCCTAGTAGTACTTGATTATTATAGTAGCCAAGGAAATTCAAATTTGAGACGCTTCGTCTGAACAGGGCCACAGCATTGACATAAAGAATCATGCTGCGAGTAGATTTTTAAGCGCCATAATTTCAACAATACTTGTCTTACGATAGGGAATCATCATTTATCACAATTGTGCCAAGCTGTTAGCTCTTGTCCATAACATCTCTTCTTTTTTTGCGCATAGATCAGCCCTTTCTCGATAATGAAACTTGCTCTCGGTATGCCCGTTCGCAACACGTACTCTGTATAAAAATTGAAGTCTCAACGGTTAAATGGTGTATATCTCAGTGATTACATAAAAACGTTCTGCTTGTTGACTTAATCGTGACTGACTCGTAATCTTTACCAAGTTCAACTTTACAGCAGTGTAAACATGCCCGATTTTAGGCACGCTTGTACTAGATCAGATCCGATTATACTTGGCGGACTATCTCCGGCTGCACAAATAAAATTTGAGGATTCGATTCGAAAGACTTTTTGAGCACTTTTTATTGATTTAAGGCTGACAAGTTTAGACGATCTCGTAACTTTAGTTGGTTTCGTAGAAGCATAGATAATTTTATCTTCTTCACTTACTCGTTTCTATGTGTACCCTTTCGCATACTACACATTTCTGGACCGAATATGGTAAGCTTTGTTGCAATATGATGATCATGACCAAGTTACGCGAGTTAGATTCAACTATGCAGATACAAGAAAGGAGAAAAAATCAGACTTTAGATTGCTTTGTAGATCCGTGAACTCTACCAAATGATTTTCATGAGAACATATGAAATTGCATAGTTTTTTGCAATTCAAGGACTTACCTTGAACTAAAGAGTTTTTTTTTGGTATCGGAAACTTACTGGTTTAGTTTTCGTCCTCAATTCTATTAGGTTTGCGATAACTTCAAGAAAAATTTAGGCACCACACACAAGAACGCCATATTCCCAGATCGCGCAATATCATGGCATAAATCACACTACTTATGGCGAATTTAGTGACGTAAAAAGGCAAGCCAAGCACAATTTGGCTTATCTTCACCACAGCTCCCACACAACAATGTTCAGCCTATGAATATGTGATAGTTTATCTGCTGGAACGGATGGTTTCTTGATTCCGTCTCCTCAGACATCGTTCATTTTCCCCATAAATACTTGTACTATCGCAAAGTAATAAACTTCAGTGGGAATTATCCTGCATTAGGCTACAATCATGCAGTTGTTCTAAAATTAGGCTCTCACTTTTTTCCTCAAAGTAATCAATCTCTCATGGTGAATTAATTTGTTCTCCAATGTTTCAGCGATGTCACTGCAAATGAGCGAGAGAGAACCCTCATCATTTTCTGCTAGGCTCATCAGAGTAGCATTATTTTCTCTTTCTCACGTCAATATATTTTTCAGCGACCCTTTAAATACTATATCCACATTCTTATTCGCAAGCTTCACCCGTATTAACATCGGTCTTTTTGATCTAGAGGTCTGCTTATTAGATATACATGTTCCACTTCCTCGTTACGTAACAATATCGAAGAAATTTCGAGTCTTCATTGAGATGACTAAGAGAAAATTATGGCAATTTGTAGGATATATCCGAGCACAAAGTACGACGATATGCTGACCAGAAGTCCTAAGATTCATAGAACGGCAACATATACTGCATATAAATAAGAAGCAGACAAAGTAACCCTGCTCCAGAGTTCTGATCAACGTTTCTTCCATTTCGCTTTCAGATTTTCTACGATGCTTGATTGGGTAGCTAAAGTTATATTGAAAGAATCCATAAATTAGCTGTTATTGTAACAAAATTCTACAGCGTGTGACTTCGATCAGTAGCTAATTTATCAAAATTTTCTAGCAAAGTACTGATAAAGTTAGGGTGGGATCCACCTGTCCTCATCGCTGGCGCTGAATGATGAGGGTTCTTCCTTTCTCTTGTCAATGCGTCAAAGGATAAGTATGTAGTTGGTACACACATACAAGGTGTCCCGAAAAATGTATCGAACGTTTGATCGTTAATATCTCTCTTCTAAAGAAGTCTTTTCCCTTGCTTCAGGTACCAATCTGTAGAGCTGGCTTCACCTAGATTTGCATTATAGAACGAATCACTCATCTCTCTTCATTTCTGTAGGATTACGGTAGAAACTTCAAAGAGGGTTTTAAGCAATGAAAGGCCATATTTTGCCCCAGAAGGGAAACAAAATAGCCTGAAAACTTTTACACTAGGCTAATTAGGGATGCTGATTATAACTGTAAAGTTCCCAATTCATTATGATGCTTCATTAAAGAGTTATGCCAGGTAAGAGGTAGCGGCCATTTTTTCAATGTTCCTAAAAAGTGCGGTTACACCGTTTAGAAAGTTTCGTAATTTTATGAATAGTTGAGTATTGAACTCAGCGTCCATAAAAATCCCAATACACAAGTTTTCACATTTTTTGAAAAATTTTGAAACGGCGGCTTTTTCCACATTGACACCAAATGTTTCAAGTTTCTACCGTAATCCTACAGCAATGAAGAGAGATGGGGGATTCGTTCTATAATGCGAATCTAAGTTGAATCCAGCTCTACAAAACGGTACCTGAAGCAAGGGAAAAGACTTCTTTAGAAGAGAGATATTAACGATCAAACGTTCGATACATTTTTTGGGACACCCTGTATTTGCCTGGAAGATTCTAGACACCGGGTCTTTTGTGATATTCGACAGTGGTAATCTTGAGAAGGATATTGAAGACAACACAGTTTTTAACAAAGTGCTTATTTCCAATTATTTTGTCCTAAAAGTAAAGCGTATTTTTAAATAAATCAGACTGGTTTTGTTTTTCTGGCAGACTTGAGGTACAATTCGATAGTGCGAAGCAGGCTCTACACAATGACCGCAAAAGATCCGTCTTTGTCGCAATCTAGATAAAGTTTGTAGCAAAAATCGGAAAAAAAATTTATCATCTGAAAATTGAATTTTTGCGAAGAATAATCGCACGAAACTCAAACTTGGTCATTATACAGTCGACACATAGTAGTATGCAAA